CATAGAAAATGAACTGCTCCATGATCTGGAAATGCAAGGCTGCTTAATGCATCATTCTTTCAACCCTCACCACTTGCAATGGCTAAGTACCTGGTTTCCATGAGTTATATGTTCAGGAGGATTGGCGCCGTTTCTTTTTTTCTTTTTTCTTTTTTTTTGGGGGGGGGATAAAGTATTAAAATTATGAGTATTCAAAACTAGCAATGAAGACTGATTAATGGAAACCAGCTAACTTAGAGCCATGTTTCAAACACAGGTGGATTTGAGCATAGAACTGAACGCAAAGGCAATGGTGACAAACGACTTCACTTGAGTTCAGCTTTCGTTTGATGTGAAAGGGCAACAGGAGTGGTCGATGCAGAAGCACTAAGCAACTTAACCTCTCGGAGCCTCTAGGATGCGGCTCTCTACTACTCAGAGCTGGGGAGAGGTTGAAAAGACGCTGTGTATTTGAGGTGTCAGGCACACAGTGCAGCTCAGCCATGTTTCATTCTTATTGTCTGCCACTCCACAAGGGCAATGACGAGACTTTTAGCATCACACCCAGTCCCTAATACAACATCAGACATACGAAAAGCATCCGTGTGGATAATGGAAGGGGAAACAGTGATGGCTTTACCTCCCGGGATTTCCCATAAAAGGCTGGGAGACTCCAAGTTGGTGAAGGTAAAAGCAGAAGTTTATACTCCCATAACTCAGCAGAGTTGGCACACTGAGACAACTGGGGGAAAGAAAGATGCAGGAAGAGCGCTATCTCCTAAGACTGGTCTGAATCTAAATGCCTCAGTTCAACCGGTGACTGACTCTATTAGAGGAGACATTTTACTTCATGTCCTCTTTTATATATGTCAAAGCTCTGCAGTTAAACGTAGATGGAAACAAGAATTGGCTCTTCAGTGAGGATTAAGAAAAGAAAGTCACCAGTACATCCACTGATCAAGTAAACAAATCAAATGAAGATGTCTCTCTCAGTCATTTTACCAATTGCAAGAGTAACCTGGCATACGATACAGGTTAAATGAAGTAACAAAAGACGGAAAGAAAGCAAGAGGAAAAAAGAAAAACTAGACAAAATACATCACCACAAAGCCACAGATGTTGTCCAGGATTTACAGAATACTAGAACACAATTAGCTGGCTTTAGGAAACATCTCTAATAATTTCATGTAGGCAACGGCAGAGGGGCACTGCTGTCCCGTGCATCCGGTTCACGATTTAACTGTGAACAAGTTGCACATCCTGACAAAGGAAGTCAAGGGGAACAGCTGAATTTCTGCTACCAGAAGCCTAGGGATCTAAAATTAAATGAGACCGGTGAATGAGAACCAGAAATTGATTCCAATTCTAAGACAGAATCAAGGTCCCACATAAAATGTCACAGGCTAAGTGACACCCCGCAACTGTACTCAAATAATGGCAATATCAAAAACCTATCATGTATAGACACAGAAAACAAACTTATGGTTACCAAAGGGGAAAGGTGAGGTGGGGGGGAACAAATAAGGAATTTGGGATTAACATATACACACTACTATATATAAAATAATCAACAAGGACCTACTGCAGAGCACAGGGAACTATACTTAATATTTTGTAATAACCTACAGGGGAGAAGAATCTGGAAAAGAATATATAACTATATACAATGGAATCATTTCGCTGTACACCTGAAACTAACACAACACTGTAAATCAACTTTACTTCAATAAAAATAAATAACCACTCCCCACAAAGAAGTTAAAAAAAACAAAACAAAACCAAAAAACCTATCATAAAAGTGCCAGTTCTACAAATTGAGTATCATTTATTTGCCAGGTTCTGCTCTAAGCATGCTCCCATATAGGCTCAGGAATTCTCATGGCAGGATCCTTTAAAAACAAAATCAAAACAGACGATAAAGGAAGAACCTGAGGCACAAAGAGGACAACTTTTCCACAGGGTTTAGAAAGCATTAGAAACAGAAGCTGAAGTTAGCTATGAGGCTCTAAGGCAGTACTGCCTATTCAAGTGGCCATGTTGGTTAAGTTTTCCTCTCTTATAGGGTCCCTATTAAGATGCTTTGATAAAATGGAAATCTTTTTTAAAAGGCCAGAGTTTCAAGGTAATTTCCAGATTACAACTTTGAAAAAGAAGTTCCTAGTTCTTTCCCAGGACCCCTTCCTGGCTTAATTACCTGTATCCATGCTTCCTCTTCCATTAGACTTGAAAGATAATGAATGCATAGCATGGTGCCAAGCAAATGAGTCCTCAGTAATTGTTGACAATCAATGAATACAATAGATGTTCAGTAAGTGCTCACTGAACTGAATTCAGTGATGCAGAAAGAAAAGTCTGATCATTTGCATCAGAAGAGAGTAGAAGAGGCAATTGAAGCACCCTTCCCGAAAGGAGAAAAAACAGTTAAAGGTTCTGCAATGAAACACCCAGGCTCCAATATTAAGTCTACATGATCCATCACATCTTTATGCGGCCCCATCTATCCCACACTCCTCTCAGTTTACCTGCACCAGAATCCCCCTTTTCTCTCATCTTAACTAGGTCCTTCCTTCCCTGTAGGTAGGGGTAGGGTGGCAGTTTCAAAGGAAGGGAACCAGGTCATATATAATTACAGCCCCTGTCCACCTGGACCATTCTCCCACACCTCCCCAGCTCTGGCTTGGGAGATGGAGACCCAGACTGGAGTGAGCATGTCAAATCCTCTTTCTCTCCCTTCACCTCGGCAGTCCTCCCTGAGATGCTGGAAGGCATGAAATTAGCTCAGCTTGTCCATCAGGGAGCCCTGTTAGACTCTGGCTAAATTCTATCAAATGGAAATGGGAAGAAAACTTTTGAAAATTGAACTAAATGAGGAACTTTTTCCTCAGGGCAGGAAAGGTGCCTCTAATTGACTTCTCACTAGAGTGAAGGTTCACCCATAGCCCCAGGCCCTACTCCTCTGGAGCAGAAAATGAGGCCGGCCCCAGGCCACCCAAGCTCCAAACACACTCAAATACATGCTACAAAGTCAACCGGCCAGCAGCCACCTAATGAAGTGCATCACACACCCAACCTCTCAGTGCTTTTGTTTCCAAGAGGCATTTTAACTGTCACTAACTCTGACGGTTCCCATGATGGCCCTGGGATGGCCGTGGAGCAACCTCGGCAAAAAAAGTCTGACTGGATCTTACAGAAGAAAGAGAAGTAAGGGTGCGGAAGAGC